GCTAGCAGTTCAGTGCAATTTTCGTTTTCTTTTTTTTAACTTTTCTTACGTGAAAAGCTTTGCTTCAATTAGAAGTTTGTTAAATTAAATAAATACCGTGTTTTTTTTCAGTATTCCCAAAATAAACGTACTGGTGGTACAGCATGCTTCCAGTACAATCAAATATGGAATCTGTATAAAAATGTAATCGATGCTGTTGAAGGATGTCCAGTTTAGTCATAGGAAAAAAGAATAAGAGAAATATAAGAGAGAGTAACGTGTGAACAGGTGTTAACAGATATCGGAATAAGAATTTGACAAAAACGCCGTGTTTTTCACGCTTCTGAAAACTACGGTATTGATAGTTTTAAACTTGCTATTATTTACCAGTGATGATGAAAATTCGAAGAACGACGTCGAACCGAATTATTACCAGCTTTTTTGTAATACTGTAGTCAGGACTGAGAAAAAAAAGCTTAAAAAAAGGAAGAAATCGTTGCTGCTTAGTTTTATAGTCTAAACTTTTTTTGTTACCTTATATAAATAGCTAGTAGCAAAAAAATCGCTTCTTCGCTTTTGTGGTACCTCACTTGCTTCCCTCCTTTAACCCTCCGTGCCCCCCTTCTTCTCGCTCTCCTAACCATTACCGTGATCTGCTCGTATCCAAAAAAGAACACGTTCTTTACCTCGTTTGCATAACAACATTAATTTATTACAGCGTGAGAGAAGAGCAAAAAAACTAAAAATGATTGATTACCGTTTAAACTTATCACTGATTTGTTTGTTATAACAACGTTATTGATAATATTAACAATAGCAAGTGAATAAACATCAAATATCAACGAGAAAGGCAATGTTACTCGACTATTTTTTCGTTATTTGTTTTATTTTATCTTCTTTAACTTGTTTAGTGGAATCGGGAGGTGAAACAGATTATCAGAACATTGGAACATTGGTGTAGTGTCAGTTGTCAGTGAGTGCTGTCATCGGGCTTTGGTATTTTACAGAACATCAGATCTTCACATTTTATCAACAATAAAGTAAAGAAAATAATAATTATTTTTTTATCTCTTAGTCACCCTTTTGTTCAAAACGTAACAATTGATCTACAGGAAATAAGCTTTAAAACCAACAAAAAGATAGCAAAAAGATCAAAAATTCGGTTGATATATGAGAGTATATTTAGTGGCTTTACCGTTCGCCGTATTGGGTGAAACCGAAAAAAGCTATACTTATCAAAAATTGCGTGGTAGTTACTTTTTTTTTAGTTTACCAAAAATAGAAACTGATGCATCTTTTTCTGCCAGTCATAAGGTGTAAAAAGTTTTGCACCGATACTATATCATACTTATTTTCGTTCAAATTGTTTTAAGTTTCAAAATATTGAATGTTTAGAAAAACAAAAGTTGTATCAGGGGAAGGCACTTATTCCCGAAATGACTGAAGTAAAAAAACAACAGAAGAACATTTCTTATAAAATTTGTGTCTTAAATTATGTTTGAAAAAATTGTAAATAAATAAATAGTAAAGAATAAATAATAATGAAGAGAATCACTGCAAGAGAAAAAGTTATCTTTTTGAAATTCTGTATTGAATTTTGGTTTTTTACGGTTTTGTTTTATCCTTTCTCTTCCAGTTGCCTATCCCCCCTAACCTTTTCCATTCTTCTCCTCCTTCCTCTCTTTTTCGGCGCCTGAAATGAACCCTGGTCTAAAGTTCAATCGCCCTTTATCTTCTTCTCTTTCGGCAGTCCTATAATGTTGCGATAAATTAAGAAAGTGGTCATTGTTTATCTATTTTTTGAAATGTCTGTTGTTACTCTTACTGCTTTTGTGGCTACTTGAAAATTGGTCTGGTATTGGAACGTAGACAGTTTGTCAAGGCCCTAAAGTCAGCAGAAGAATTTTGGTTCAATTTAGATTGCGGATAAAAATTTTCTTCTCTTCCTTCCTGGTTTTTCTTTGCTTTGCTTTCGCTCTTCCTTTTTTTTTTCTCATTGTCTTAAAAAAAAAAAAGGAAACTTACTTATAACTGATATGGAAAAAAATGATGGAAATCGATGAGTGCGGATTTGGTTGATTTGTTGGGTAACAACAAATGTACAGATAAACAAAAAAAGAGAACTTGGTATACTCTCATTGAACAAACTTTTCATCTTGTTCAAACTGTACCACACAACTTGTTCACCACTTGTTTGGATTTAGAACAAAAACAAAACAAAACAAAAACTGTTGCTGCGTAATACAAATTTTTTTTCATATTTTTTTTCCTATTTTTTTTGATCTTTTCGTTTTTCTGTGACTCATCAAGCCCAGTTTTATTACTGTATACGTGAATAAAACATTTGTATGCAACACTCACCGTTTAATGATAAGAACAATGTATAAACGAAGAAAAAAAAACTGTAAAAGTAGAAAGTCAAAAAAAAAATTGTGTCCACAAGGTACTGCTATATTATTGGAAGAATAGAAGAAAGAAAAAAAATGAATAGAAAGTGCTTTACGGGGGCACAATTTTTTTCTTTCTTCTCCTTTTTTTTTTTTTTCAAATCGCAAAAAAACCGGAAGATTAATTTGAATGCGGATTTAGTGGTGCAATATTGTTGTCATATTAGACCGAATCTACTGGCTTAATAATGTGTCGGGCGGTAATCAATGGTTGGTTTCTGTTTCTGCCAATCAACGTTATTTTTATCGTTGTCATCATCAGCATCAGTATCCATCTATCTATCCGTCCACCCATCCATCCGTCCATCCGTATGTTCATTGTAAGGCGATGAAGTACATTTGAAATACAGGAAATTTGAGAGCGCGAAAAAAATAGAATTCTATTTAAATTTTTTAAACTTTATTTACTGTACTGAAAAACAAAAAACTTTTTTTTAATAAATAAACGAAGAACAGTAAAGTCCAAATTTCAATGACAGCTAAAAACACAAACAGTTTTTCATCTTCAGTGTCATATCCGATCACATTTTGGTAAAGATTTTTCTTTTTTGTTCTTCTTCTTTTTTTTTTTT